TATGATTTAGCTGCAGCTCTTGTTCAGTCACTAAAAACTGAACAAGAGCTGCAGCTAAATCATAATGAAGATATAGATCTACTTCTTTGTTTTGAGAAGATTCTTATAAAAATTCCAGCAACATTATTACATTGGGAGAGGGATGTTTGTTCAATATTTCACCACGTGATAAAAGGATGAGGGCACACAGAAGCAGATGGCATTTTTGGTTTGCTGCAGGTGGCATGTTTGGTTTGCTGCTCCTGGATAATAGACGGTCGGCTTTTTATTTCATAAATACGAGGAGGACTCCAATAGACAATAGACATTGAGTATTTTATTTGAAAGTAACTTTCAACCCAGTGTCTTTTTTCGGAGTTCAAAATGTTTTTGTTGCATACAGAAATAAAAATTTGATTTCACTGTAGCAGTTCATTGATTTCATAAATGCAACACACTATAGTTTTTTTATACATAGCATAAAGGTAAAAAACGATATATGCAGTGTCATCTTCATTTTAGATGTCAAAAGGGTTTTGCGGCTCCCGGTGTTTTATTTTCTGTGGGAAGCGGGTCCAAATGGCTCTCTGAGTGTTAAGGGTTGCCGGTCCCTGGGCTAAGGGGACATGGTTAGCAAAGTATCCTGGCCTGTTTGGAATGTCATATAAAAGGTGACACAACTATCTGTTTCTTGCCAGACTCGAACCTAGCTAAATGCTTATAAACAAATATACTGCTGCATTCATATTGCAGAAACAACTCAGGTAGCCTAATATGAAGAAAGACATAATGTAAAAAGGCATCTGAAATTATATCACTTAGATTCTGGCTCTTATTCCTCCTCTGCAGCTCAAGAGAACAGTTTGTCCTCTCATATTTAAAAGCACTTCATCCATTCCTTTATTGTCTCATTAACCAAGAAGGAGAAACTTGAATTTTCAAAACTATTTTAATAATGGTGGGAGTCTTCTTGATGACATCACTGGGCATAGCCAGTCAGTGCCATGCAGAGCAGCTTGCTAATGCAAACTTGCAGGTTTGCATTACTATGGCATTGCATGTTAAACTCTGTTTTTTAAGAGTTTAACCCAGGGGTCTCAAACTGGCGGCCTGCGGGCCAATTGCCGGGAGGGGCAGGGCATGGGGGAGGGGCCCTGCGGCCTTCAAAGCGCCGGCGGCGCCCGGGCCGGCCTCCGGGAGTGACGCGGGATGAGCGGCCCACCACCACTGTGGTGGTGGAATACTTGATGCGGCCCAGCCTCACCCAGACTCTACTTCCAGCGGCCTCCAGGTAAGTTGAGTTTGAGACCCCTGGTTTAACCAGAGGGAGGAAGAGGTAGCTCTGGGATGAAAGCAATGTGGACACTTCCAGGCCACTCTCAACAGTCCAAAGATGTTATGTGTCTTGTGTGCTGAATGGATACTTAGTGCCCAAACTCTTCTTTTAAGGTAAAATATGTGATTTGCTATCTGAAAGCTAATTCAGTGTGCTGACCAGTCTCATCCTGGTGAATGCGACCTACTTTAAAGCCAGATGGGAAAATCCATTCAGAGAATCAAACACTAAATTGCTGTTTAGACTCAACAAGGTATTCCATTGCTTCCTCATACAGGCAACTTGTAACTTGCAACGTGTAAATTGTAATTTGCAGTGCCAAAGACACATGAGAATCTGAGGATACACATTCAAGTGTATGCCTGAATGAAAGCAATGCAGTGCAGACGAGCATCATCCCCACTGAAACAAATGCTTTGATTGGCCTTTGGGACACACCTGAGTGATCCTGGGAGTTTTGATACAAGTGCAGCATGAATGCTGCTTTGTGCACAGCTCCCCTTGGGTGGGTTTGGGGCACAGCTAAGAGTACGCCAGGCCTTGCACTCCAAGCAACTTGCACAATACCTTGCCGACAGAAACCCAGCGCAGGGTTTTGGCTCTCTATACTCATGCAAGGTTTTTGTTGCCATAGGAAAATCCCTTCCACTTTTGAGAAAGAACCCCTGTATCCAAGCCATTTCATACATAGGAATGCACATGTCATTTAGCCAGTGGATCCACTCTGAAATACTGTCTTGAATGTGCAGACTTAAGATTTCTATTGTTCTAGTCTTCCAAGCAGAGCACTGGCAAAGACTATGTCTTGCATGATTGCTTCACATGTAGAACACAAGGCAGTGGAACATGGTCCCTGTTGCCCCTGCTGCCCATGCCTCCTCCCCAGACCTGTTCCAGGGAGTGGGGATTGCCGGGCAGATCTAGCAGTGGCATAAGGAGATGCGGGGAGATTCTTGTTGTGAGGATAAAATGCAGCTATTTAAACCAGCTTGCCTTCCTTACAAAAGCAAAAGGCCAGCATGTTAATGTAATGCAGCAACCAGCTAGAACAATTAGAACGGGAGAGGTTGACAATGGGACATCTTATCCCTTGCAGCCTTTATCCCGAGCTCTATGAAAGCTGTCTCTGGTGCTGAACACCACCCTCAAACCAGGTCCATGCCCATGGATTGCCATGAGTAGGATCAACAAAGGTTCACAATAAAAGCTGCAGTAGATTAGGAATCCATGGAAGGCAGTCATCAGCCTCCCATTTGTTAGCATTTAGGGACATTGTTTTGTAGAAAGAAATGAACAATTATCTTTCAGCTGCTAGAACTTTTCAACAGACGGATGGATGGACTGAGACAGATATCTCTTCAGTTCTCTACATAGCTGTGCCCTTGCGGAATGACCTTGGGCTAGCCACTGTCTTGCTGACATAGGAGTCGCCCCTACTAACAAGCGCTGAAGCCCCGACAAAAAAGAACTTCAGAAGGAGCTTTCCAACCTGGAAGAGGCACCAAACTGGCAGAAATGGTTCACTGTATGACATGATGCCATTTGTGGCAACCTCCTCACCCTTAACTTCCCACAGATACTGATTAGGTGTGAGCTAGGAGTGACTGACCTCCGGGGATCTTGGGCCCATAGCAAGGTGAGCACCAGCTATTGGGTGACACACGGGTGTATATGTATATAGTAGCCAGCTCAGTGGTTAGAAAGGCTTTTTCATATTGTGGATCATTAGGAAAGGAACTGAAAATGAAACTGACCCTGACCCTTATGAGTGTCTGGGGCTGTTTAGCTTAAGAACATGGTAAGAAAGTAGATAGGGCAACATGAGAGAAGTGTGGGAGCTGGGGTTCTTCCTCTGCACGTTTCTTGGAAACCTTTTCTCAGAAAGCATTTTTATTGATGAAAGCATACACTCAGAATGAATCTCTAAGCATGTGCGGAGCAGTATGTTAAACCCCAATCTAGTATTCACTTCCGGGAACTCTCATTATGAGCATACTCTTTGGAAGGGGCCTCAAAGAGCTGTGCTTACTGTCTGAGAAATTCCCCTGCTCCAAGTCCTGCCTTAAATTATTCTATGTCCAGTCATGTGGTAACATTCCTACAAATGGCTACATTTTTTGAAACAGTACCTGAGTAGTTTTATAAGAAACATTTGGTCAATGTTGTTAGAAACCCTCTTTCCTTTCCTTTGGAAAAAAAAAAATATTCCAGGCAAGCAGAGAGTTCTTTTTGAAACTTTATTGCAATAAAGGGAGTGGAGAGTTTCCTTCCCCTTGCCAGCTGGCCAAACACATGTTCACATCCCGTTTTTATGCCCTGTCCCCGGCTGCTTCTCCCTCCTCTTTTTCCCCCATTGGCCAGGGTACTGGGAGGTTACAAATCTTTTCCGTCCACCTATCCTGTGCCACTCTGCTACCTGTTCTTCCCTTCCACTTGGTCCCTCCCAGGTGAATTATAATGAACTTATTTCCTATGAAGGGTGTGTTTGTTAATAGTCATGAGATTATTGAGCAAGGGTCTACGTGACTAATTCCCTCCTGTTATCCCAGCCCCCCACCCTTCCTATGACTAAAGAATTTTCTTTGTTACATTTTTACTCTTCCTGTTTCCTTGTTTCAAATCATCCTTTCATCCCTATCAATGTTAAAAAAGTCCCAATATATTCAGCAAAAACAAAAACCAAAAAATAAAAACCAAGAGAATGAAAGAGCAAATGAAATCACGCTTTTAAGTATAAGCATCTTGAAAACTTCCTGCCCCAGGACCCAGTCTTATTGCCACCCAAGCAGGGAAAGAAGCAAGACCCGAGCAAGTATTTGATGGGAGAGGCTGTGAAGGGCTAGCCCCATGGTTCTGTGATTCACTCTACTTTTCAAGGAGAAGCAAATCGACCGAGGAAAAGTATGCTTTTGGTTGGGTTATGGCGGATAAAAAATAGGAAGGGGTGGTCAGCATTGAACTCCTCTTCGATAGGCATTGAGCAAAACATTGCTATACCTGCTGTTGCTGCTGCTGCTTCTGTGCCTTCCTCATTCACTTCTATGAATGACTTGTGAACAATTTGGGACATATGGAGGTCCCGGGCCCCAGACATTCCAGACAAGTCAGCCTTGCCTTCATCAAAGACATCCAGCAGTCCCAGTGCAGCTAGATCAGATTTAAGATTATAGCTCTCTTCCAACTTAAATTTAGGCAGATGCACATAAACATCCGAACTGGAATACATCTTCTCTGGAAGTGTCCATTCTTGGAGCTTTCCCAAGGTTAGCTGCTTCTCCAACTACAATAAAAGAATGAATGGCAGAAATATGTCTAGCTAATTAACAACAGAGAACTGCCTTGATCAAAAGCCAGAACCTGCCAATTGGTGTGTATGTGACTGAGCAGGACTGGAGGAGTCATCTCTATGTGGAAGAGTCTGGAGGCACCCAGCTTATTAAAGTAGCTACCTGGAGCTGCTTTCACTTATGCAAGAGGGCGCACACCACATGCTGCTCATGTGAGACATCACATGTCTGATGCACTGCATCGCTTGCTAAAATAAATTGTGGGTAGCAGAGCTGGAAAAGAGAGCTCCCTTCCTAGAGAGTCATTGCCTCTTGGGGTGAGTGATATGGTACCTGATGGAGCTGAGAGTCAACTAAGCCTTGCTCTGTAGATGGGAGGAGATCCCGTCTTCTGCCTTCATCCCCAGACAAATGCAGCTGCTGCCCCAGAAAAGCAGCATTTTTGTACAAGACAAGTCACCACACAGGACTGCTTATTTCTATGAACCTTAGTGTCACACATAATGATTGTATGAGTTGCTGTACTGGAAATACTATGTTTCATCTCAGTCAGCATTTAGAAAGATAACATAATCACCTGTTCCAGGCCAGTGGAGTCATCCTCAATATCCTCTGGCAGGAGGATTATCATGCTAACTTCTTTTCCCTTGTAAGGAAGTTCCAAAACGTGGCACTTGCATTCAGGGATGTATCCAAGAGGGAACTTCTTTTTCATAAACATCATTTTCACATTCTTCTTTTCCTTCTAGATGGTTTACAATATATATGTGCAAACATGTAAATATGGAACATTAGCAAAATCTTTAAGAATAAGTAAAAACATTGCTTTTCAAAAAAAGTTGCAAGAAATTTGTGTTGGTTGAAGAAACAGACTCCATCCAGTGTGGAGGTCTAGCATAATGTAGAAGACTATACAGTTAGGTACTGTTGAACAATAAGCTCTTGTGTGGACAAAAGGACAAAAAAAGGCATTCTGTTACCTTATTGAGTCTAAAAGGCAATTCCTGAGTGTCCTCCTCTGGAAATTTCTCTTCCCAGCTGCCTTTAAAGTAAATGGCATTGACCAGAACCAGTTTGGTCAGCTCATTAACTGAACCTTCTGATAACAACTCCTGGATTTTACCTTGAAAGAAAGGTTGCAGAATTATTTATACATGAGCAAGATATGCATAATGCTATTATGCAAATAGTGAAACTTCTCTAGAAGTGAATTCACTGCATTTACTTGGAATATACTGTGACCAATTTGTCCTTTTCCAAGGATTTTACGAGATGCAATTCTTGTAATTATTGCCAACACATTCATTTAAAGGAAGCATTAGCTGTATTGAAGCAGCAGCAATTAGCAAAATTAGACAAAGGTGAGAGATTAGAGAGATGTTGCAGGGTCTGATCAGAAGCTTTTGCTAATTATGTTGCTGCCAAAGTTCCATATGGTGGCAGGTAGATATCAAAGCTGAAATCCCATGCAACTGCCTACAGCAATTTCTTAAACATGTCCACAGTTGCAAGAAAGTTAGGGTCCCCTGCTACACAGCCTATTTCCATGCACCCTGCACACTGATGGAGACCATTCAACATTCTTGGGCTGTATAAAGTTTTGGTTGACTATGCAGGTCAGGACAACAGAATTGAATTTCTTTGTTAGATTGCTTTCCATGTGAAGTGTTATAATAGCTCTGTATTTTGGCAGGAGTTTGGTGGATAGAATTAAGTAAGAATGAGATCTGATTTAGTTCAGCATTTGCTTTCCAACTGTAGCCAGTCTGACTCTAGTACTTTCCTTTATAACATCTGCAGAATTATCCTATTAATCTCTGTATACAACTGTGCCCCCTTCTGTTCATGTAAATGTGCACAGCATTACCCCTTAGTTATTTTAATAAAGCTGTTATCTCCACTCTGTTTTTACAACACAGCTAGGTCAATCACACAAAATCAAATTCCTTCCTGAGGGAAGGAAAAATTTTACTGGATAATATTTCCTTCTTTGCTATAATTACCTACAATGCATACTAGAAATATGGCAACTGAGACATAATACAGTCAAGGACAGAGAAAACATTAGGGGGAGTTTTAGTACAAGATCTAAAAATGAAGAAGAACATTTCCCAGAACATCTCACCCTCAGTCTGTTTGTTAACCCACTCGTTGATTTGCTTTCGCACACTGTTTGAAGCATTTTGGAAATCCACTGTGGATGACTCAGCTCCATACAGCTTCTTAGTGTTTGTCAAGAAGTCCTGGTGGAGAGTTATCAGTGTAAAATAAAAAACAATCAGTCACTCTCTCCTTATGAATTATAGACCCAAACCAATCTCCCCATTCTTGGCAGGATGTATCGCTCAATCCATATAAAGTTCTCCAGAATATCAGCATTTCCATAATACATGAAACACAGAATACTGAAAAACCACTGATAGTTTGGGTTTTTAAAAAAAATTCTGTGAAGACACAGCCCTATAGAAAAAGACTATATATGCTGACCAGAACAGAAGCACCATATATAAAGTCATTATTAAGTAGCTTCAGCACAGATCATAAAATCATAGAATAGTAGGGTTGAAAGGGGCCAAGAAGGCCATTAGGTCCAACCTCCTGCTGTTGTAGCTTACACCATCCCACTCATGAGTTGGTGGTAAGGTCCCAGAATCCCTGTTCCTTACTCCCCATGATATCCCTGGAGGTTGTGGGGGCTGCTGAAACACCACTACCAGATGCCCATCAGGGAATCTCCCAAACACTTCTGTTACGCTGAAGTGGTTGAAGACAACAATCAGCTGTTTGCAAAAGAGGCCTCCAGATTTTATGGTTGGATTATAGTGCAAAAGATGAATGATCTATGTGTTTTTCAGGATTGATATGAATTGTTATGACTGAATGGAAACTTTGGGTGGAATGCTCTGGAGTGGGAGCTTACTTTCCTGAAATTATGCTGATATTTGATATAACATTCATACTGTAATCAGAAGTTACATTTTATGTAAGAATGCTAAAGACAATAAAACTGGCACCAAAATAGCATCCTGCAAGAAGCACCTCTATGCATGCATGCTGACTCCATGTATTGTCACATACAACCCTTCAAACAATAAAACGTTAGAAAGTGGACCAATAATGCCACTAAGTGTTGCAAAACTTATTTTCATGATCAAATTAGTTTCCAAAATTCAGTTAGATTCTAGCAATCAACTTACTTGCAAAAAGGAATATGTCTTTTCTCCATACAACCTGTTGGCAAGCTTCAGGATATAGGGCGCATCACTCCTGTTAATCTCAGCACTGAGTGCCTGGAATTTTGAATGAAGATCTTCCACAGCATCAAAGTGAAATGTCTGCAAGAAAAAAAAAAGCAGTGGCCTAATCCATCATTCCTGTGGCCAGTTAGGAAAGCATATTTATCAAGGAGCTGTGCGATGATTCAGAAATCAGAAGACTGCAATTTCACATGTTTGCTATCTGATAGACCATTCCCAGCAAAGATGCCACTGCATTCATTTCTGGATTAAAGTGATACTTGGACACAGCCAGGGCATGAAAAGGTAATCCTTTATCCCCATCCTCTGTACCTGTGCAATGCATTTATCAAAAAAGTGAAATCAAAATAAATATAATATGTTATTGCGCCATCAATTACTGAATAGTTAGAACATTTGTTCTGGATCTCAGTGCCCTTCTGAACAGTGAACAAATGGAATTTACATATTTCACCATATAAATTCCATTTTATTTTGTTAAAAAGCTTGTATAAATTAACAAATAAGCTGTTGCACACGGACTTACAATCCAGACCAGCCTTTGTACATGAAATGTCTGGCTCTTAGCATGTGTGGAATAGTAGGGGATTCTGAACAGGTGTAGTAGGGTATGCCACTGCAGCTCTCCCCCCTCCACCCCACTTTTGTACCAGTAGGAGGGTCTGCTTATACAAGGGGGCACAGTTCTGAAAGTGGGCCCAGAAGTGGGCCCATTCTGGGCACAGTTCTGAAAGTGGGCCCAGAAGTGCGTGGAAATGTTCATTTCTGGATTGGAACCAGTGAGCGGTGCTCCCTTCTGCCAAATCTATTGACCGACTCCATTCCAGAAACAAGCATTTCTGCTCATTGGGGTTGCTTGCAGAACCAGGAAGTCCCCGTTGTTCAAGCAGTTATTTCTGCTAGCTCATGAGTGCAACAGAATCTGCCCTAAGATTAAGAACTTTTTTGCACTATTAATGCAGTCATGATTGCAGGAATGGATGTGCAGTCTGATTGTTCCAGGATCTCTCTGTATCATTGTATGCTCATGTAAGGGATTGCACAAAAGTGGTCAGCAGTGTGAAGTTTGCTCTGGGGGTATGGGAAATACAGAATTAATTCATAGCATTGCTAGTGCAGCATTATCTTCTTTCTGTTTACATCCTTGCTACTTCTGCTTTCAATGCAGTCCACATGGGTTGGGCAATTTGAAGTGATGGCACGCATACTGAATGTGGTGTGGTACAAAGTCCACAGCTGGATGGGCAATTAGGTTTATTGTTTTAATTCACTACCACCATAATCCAACAATGCCAAAACCACTCCCTTGAAACTAGGACTGTAAGATGCAGTATTCTTAAGGGCCTCTAATGCACTGATAAATCCCCGTAAAAAGGTGTTCACTGCTGTGAGTTATTTTGAATATAAAAATGTTTCTATTTTAACATTGAATCTGCTTAAAGAATCAATCCCAAATCTTCTTAAAGGCATACCCTGTTAAACAGAAGCCTCACAGCTAGGATCCATCATCCTGCCAGAGTAGAGGCAATTATTGCCACTCTATCTTCCTTATTTGGTTTTCCCTCTGCAAGGGCCTTTGAGTGCTCTAAAAAAGATACATCAGCAGGGCTAGGGATGGGATAAGATTTATAGTTCCTGGGTCTCTCCACTAGAATGGCTCTTCTCTAGCTTCTCTGAAGTCCACTGAGCAGTTCCACTGTGCAGGTACCATGGCAGCTACAAGAGAACGAGTGACCAGGCAGCAGCAAGGGAGGGATTAGATCACATGGTCCCCTTCCCAAAGTCATATCAGTGTTTGCTGCTTCAGAAGGCAAAAATCAAACAATTCTATGATCTCTGGGACCTCAGGAGAGCTCTCTTAACAAAATAACCAGAATTCAGCATAAAACCAAGAGAAAAGATCCACTGACCTTTGAAAGTTGTTTGGCTGTGTTACCTTTGGTCCCTAAGTAGACCATAGAAAGAGCAGTGGATATGCTAAAAGGAGAGAAGAAGATATTGCCTGTTGGCTTGGCTGTATTCAACTGCTGGAAGAGATCCAGGCCAAAATGAGTGTTTGCAAGAGCCAGTTTATCCATGGTGAAATTCTGAAAGCCTGAAAAGAAAATGTACATATTTATAAAAATATTTACGTATCACTTTTCAGTCCCAGAAGGGTGCTTTAAAACAATATTAGACCAATTAAGAACAAAAGGGGAAACAAGCAGACTTCAAAGGGAGTGAAATGAATGACATCACAATTGTTCAAAAAGTGTGTAGAACTGAAAGGTTTTAACAACCCACTCAAAATTAAATAAGAACTCAGTCCTTTGAGAGTTCCTCTGTCAGGCTTCCACCACTGACAAGCCTGCCTTACGTTTCCACCAAACACATCTCTTTTCTTGGGGAAACTGAAACAGATACTAAACTACGGAGAGATTCATTTGGCAGAAGGAAGCCATTTAGAACTTCAGTCGGCACCCTGAGTTTAGATGCAAACTTAAAAGCCAAACTAGTTGGTATCAGACCTCTATAGGAGGCTGCCAGGTTGTCACAGAGGTCATCCACTGCAACCACTTAAGATAGCAACATTGCTGCAGATACCTTTCTTGTCTCACTCCCAAAACTCAGTCCAGGCACAGCCTTCTGTGCTGGGGTAGCGGCTCAAAAGTAAGAACGGAGTTGCTTTTATTAGCAGCCTTGCATGAAGAAAATTGGTGAGGTAATTTCTGTCCTATTCAAGCGGAGAATGCGGGGCTTGCAGTTTTGCTTTTCAAATGGTTGCTAAAAGCATGTAACCTTGGTGAGTAGTCAACTTCTGGCCTCTGTAAAACACAGAAACCTGAAGTTGCCACCTTGTCTCCTAAAAGAGGCTTTGATAGCCCTGTATCAAACTGCTTGTAAAATTCCCTGGCAGACTTTCTTCTTCTTGGTTCATGGCCAAGTGGCGCAGTGGTTAAGCACATGGGACTGGGACTCAGGGGATCTGGGTTCTAGGTCCTGCTTGGCCTTGGAACCAACTGGGTGGCTTTGGGCCAGTCGTAGCCTCTCAGCCTAGTCTACCTGATTATTATTGTGAGCCGCCCCGAGGCTTCAGCGAATGGGGCGGCATAGAAGCCTTCTAAATAAATAAATAAAAATACCTCGCAGGGTCGTCGTTGTGGGGATACGATGGAAAGCAGCAGGAGGATGATGCAAGCCTCTTTGAGATTGTTGCAAGAAAAAGTGCGATATACACATTATAAATAAATAAATATAAATGGCTTAGTGACAGAAGAGCCCCGCTTGGCTTGCAGGGGGCGCCTGGGTCGATTTCGAGAGGGCTGGCACGGGAACTGGCCAAGCATCCCGGGCAGCCCCATCCCGCCAGGGAGCGTCGGCAACGCGCCTGCTGGCTGCACAAAGGCACGGCATCGGCCCAGTCCAGAGGCGCGGGCGAGGCTCCCAGGTCGCCGAACAGGGCTCTCGCCTCCCTCCACCAGGGTTCGCATGCCGCCCTTTCCGACCACCCCTCCAGCGATTGTCCCCCGGAAGGACTTGGCACCGGCGCGGAGACGGGAAGCGCCGAAAGAACGGCGCAGGTGGCGCTATGCGGTACCTTCTGGCGAGCAGGCTTCCCGAGCAGGGTCTGAGCGGCTCCCGCAAGTGGCTCGGCGCAGCAACGCTGGCGGCTCTTCCACTCCCGCCGCTCTTTGGCCTGCAGTGACGACTGCGCGAAAATGGTCTTCCCGGCCTGGGCGGGACAGCCACGGGCAGTTCCGCCAGCCGCGCCCTTCGCCCGCTGCACGCTTCGTATGACAGCGGGGGTCTGCTGCACGGACTGAACGGAGAAGAAGACGGCGTAGGGGACGGAAAGCGGGACAGCCGTTCCGCATTTAGAGTTTGTGGCTTTTATATTACAACACAGTTTCCTGAGCACGAGTTAGCCAGCATACTAAAAGAGCTTGGGAACACGAGTACAAATTGCACTGGCGCAACCTGTCATAATGTACACCTCCATCAAAAAGGTCCAGCAGAAATTGGGTCCCAGGTGGCCAGCTCCTTGGTGACAAAGGCATTTGCGCCGTAGCTAGCTCTTGGACTGGAACATTCAGCAGATACACTTCCCTCCTTCCTAAATTTCGACAGTTTTGTCCCCTGACACGAATCCTCTATGGTAAGAACCATAGTGGCAAAACACATGCCTGTCCCTGGGGCTGTGGAAAGAAATGACTCCTTTTTGAGGAAAAGGAAATTTCAGTGCTCTTCGAACTGAGAATTCTCCCTTGCCTATGGAAGCATGGAAGATGTTCAGGATTTTTATTCTACTTGACAAACCTGAGTGCAACCTTTGGGTATTCTGTGCTATCAAAAACCTTCAGGTAATAGAGAACCCTCTAATTAATCGCACATATTTAATGTGTGTGGTTTGGTTGAATACACAGAGATGAGTCATACTCTTCTCAAACTGGCAACAGGGAGCAGCAAGAAAGGGTGGCATGTGGTTCTGTCACTTACTTTTCATGGGAAAGTAAATCTGCTAGAGCAAATACACTTTTTGTTGTGTTGTGATTAAAAAAATAGGAAGGGGTTGTCAGCATTTACATCCACTCCAGACAGACTTAATTCCACACACTTAATGGCGGCTTCTGTGACGTCTTTGTTCACTTTTGTGAATAACTTGGGACACATGGAGGTCCTGGGTCCCTGACATGCCAGATAAATTGGCCCTGCCAAGATCAAAGGCAACTTGCACTCTCAAGTGCAGCTAAATCAGATTTTAAGTCATAGACCTCTTCCAACTTACATATAGACAGATGCACATTTTATTTATTTATTTATTTATTTAAACATTTCTATGCCGCCCCTTGCCAAAGCCTCGGGGTGGCTCACAACATAATAAAATACACAATAAATTAAAACAATAACAATTAAAATATATACATTGGAATAAAATAAGCCGCCCTGGCCAAATAAAATTCAATGATATTAACATAAGCCTCAGTCTTGGAAGTAGTTTTTCTTGGATGTGTCCATTCTTGGAACTCTCCTAAGGTGAGCTGCTTGTCCAGCTAGAATTACAAAGAAGCTGAATCGGTTGTCATATGACTGCAAAAACATATTGAGAGGTGGACAGAAACATGCACAACACCTTTTGATTGGTAGCACTGGGATTCATTTGTGTAGAAACACCAAGTCATCAAGAGGCTTTGTCCCCAAAGCCAGAGGAGTCTTGCACTACAAAAAGTTAAATTGGCTGAACACATGGCCATTCAGCAATTTTAAAAAGTTAGAAAAAGTTTTGAGCTTTCCTGAAGGGGAAGGAACAACATGGAACTATCTCTCAGTTCAGTGGTAATGCACACCTGCTGTTTCAGTTGCAAACTGAAGAGCAAGCAAGACTCAGCCAGCATCTAAGAGAATGAATGAATTTTCCTTTCATATTATGACTGCCCCCCCTTCTTGGTGCACACCTTAATGTGGGAAGGTGGTTGAGAGTCAAGCTACTGGGGAAAAGCAAAGGACAAGGACAAGCAGCACTGTCAGTTAATGACACAACTAGGTCAAAGCTGAAAGGAAGTCCAGTGGTTGACATGAATAGAGGTGAAAGCAAAGTCTTACAATCAGGAAACACATACAATCAGGAAACTGAACTTGAGAAGTATGAAACAAGGCAAACTAGAAACAGTAAAGCAAGAAAAGGAATGGTTAAATATCTCAGTACTTGATGTGAGCAAACTGAAGTGGGTTGGAAGGGACATTTTCAGTCACAGGAAACAGTTTTAACAGTTGCCCCATCTCTGTCTCAAGGCTTCTCCCACAACACTAGGAAGACTCCACTCCTTCAAGGGAATCCGGTGCACTGTCTCTCCTTCCTTCAACACTGAGATGGAGAAAAGAAAAACATTAAGGCCAGCCCGGGTTCTGTACTGTCCATGTAGCTAGCTAGCAAATCTGGTCTGCCTCAGAGCACTTCCCTGCTGAGACTTGTCCCACCCCTCTTCTTCCAGCAGCGACAACTGAGAAAAAGTCCAAAGGTTCCTGTTTGCTTATCTGGCATTGCTTCGTAGAGTTATGAGTACACCCCTAGTCAAACACTGTCAAAGAGGCCTGTGGGTAGCTCTAGGACAAATGCTGGGCACCGCAGCTTGCTGGGACTACAAGCACCACTCCTGCAGGTTGACAGAAGGCCCAGCTGCGTCCGAGGTGGCACTCTTTGATGACTGCAGGGTGGGGGAGTAGGACCTACTCAGTAGAACTTGACAGGCCAATGTGGAAGGAAGTGAGGACAATGATGACTACGTGGAAGGAAAGTGGACAGATGCCAAACCTTCAATTATTCTATTTATTTTTATCCGTTGCTTTATAATAAATATAATTCCTGAGCATAGTTAGTTAGCATATACTCTGCCAGATCTTTCCATTGCACAAGCCTATTGAATAATGTGTTGAAAGCCTGTTGAAAAACTGGTTGCACAACAGATTGTCCAAGCATTTCTGATAGTCCAATGTCATTCCATTAATGGATTGACACAACTGGATACTTTCCCATGCTACAATAAGACATATTTATAGTTAGCATGATGGGATTCAGATCCCATTTTTATTGCTTCTTTTAGGTGTTAACTATGAAGCAGGCCCAGAAAGCCTTTAAGCAAAACATAAATGTGGATTAGTTGTAGCTGTTACCCCATGTAACCATCAAGAGAATACTGTGGGAGGCTCATCTCTTCCAGATCTGTTATGCACTGATTTGACAACAGCCTGTTCTGAACTGGCTTCTAAAGCATCTGTGAGGGATGGGGGATGTTTCTCAGTGCTGCTGTTTTAGATGTAATATGTTTCATATTGTACTGTGTTCCTATGCTATGATTTCAAGCTACTTTGCAGGCCCCATTTGCCTAGGAAAATAAGAAACAAATACTTTAAAACATATGGATCGGGGAGGAAGGGAGGTGGTGAAGAGAGCATTAATGGCACCTGGCAGCCTGGAATGTTCATGAGAGAGGCAGTTAAAACCTAGAAACAAATGCGATGGAAAAGGAAGTCATTGCTGGGATCTTGTGGAGTGAATCCAGTGAATGTGGCAATGATCTGGCAGTGGCAGTGGAGTCTGATAATAGGACAAAACAATGAATGGAACAGACCCCTGTGAGATGCCGGTGATTGGGAACTGTGATGCAGAGGGTTGGCATGGGGACACCGCAGCAACACAGTACGTAACTTTGTCACTGAAAAGGATTGGAATGCCAGGACACATTATAAGAAAGACTGTATTATAAATGTACATTAATTGAGAGATTTTTTGAATTTATAAGTAGTTGCTTACATAAGTGTTTGCTGGCTTCAAACTGTCTTCCCAGATTATAATTGCATTAAGCTCTTGCAGTTGCCCTATACAGTTCATGGGTAAACAGATTACTTGCAAGAAGCAAATAATTCTGCAGACAGAGTTTAAGGTCCTCTTCAAGTGTTATAAACCAGCTAGGCTAAACTCATAAGAAAGGGGAGTGGAAGTGAGCATGCTGGCCGCTCCCTGCTTCATTATTCTCTTTGTAATCCTTGTATGGGGAGGGAGGCCATGCCCACAGGAGTGTCTCCTGAACCTGTGGAAGCTCTTCCTGTAATCCAGAACCCAGTTCTTCCACAGTTCTAGATCACTGGGAGCACCTCCATGGGAGATGCAGGAAGCCCTTCCTTGCAGAGTCACCCCCCCCCAATGGATGTGGCAGCAGAGGGAGGTGCCATTGGCATGCTGCCACCTGTCTTCCTGTGTTGAGCCAACCTGCTTATTAGAATGCCTCATCTCAAACTGCTTCAGAAATGCTATCTGGATATGCACTCGTGCTTGAAAGGGTGAAGAGAAAACAGTGCACTCACCTTGTTTGTCTGAATGGGCATTTGTAATGACCTGGTAAATAAGTTCACAGAAGCTTGGCCCACAAACAGCATGGAACCAGCAAGCCACTAACCACTTAGTGAGCTATTTTTTTAAAAAATCCTTCAACTCACTTGCTTTTGTCTCCATCTTCAGCCTGTTTCATTTATTTGCTGGTTGCAAAGAAAGGGGCTTTTCTTCTGTGCATAATACAGAAATGAAATGGAAGGGCAAGGGAGCAATCTGTCACAGCTTCACAAGACCACTGGCTCACGTGCATGGAACTTTTGGTCTCCAGAACATGCCAGGCATCTTCTCAAATACAAGACTGATTTGCATGCATTTCTATCAGAGCAAAGCACATCTGGCTTTGCTTTATAACTTCTAGAGACCCATGGAAAGGGCTGAAACTTGAAGAATGGCAACAGCAGAAATTCATACTAATACATTTTAAGAAAAAAACATCCTCAAAATATGTTCAGAACAAGAAATGCAGTGAGAACAATTTCCCATTAGCAGGTACCAGAAATAGGGATTGCCACTGGTAAAATAAAATGCTTCAGGCATATTGTAGCAATTCATGCATTCTGTTTCTCTGAGTGTTCTGGTTTCTCTGATCTTTGGGGCCCGCTGTGGTTTATTACAACTGAAAGATATCATGCAGAGTAGATTTGTTAAACACCTAGGATGGGTAGTCCCTCAGCCCCTTAAATATCCTTTTATGTTCTTAAATGCTTTGGCATAGAGGGCAGTCTGAACCTGGCACTGAAAGGATTGCAATGTTGGCACTAGGCAGTTTCAGTGGAGATATCATTCCACAGTTGGGGGTGGGGGCACCACTGAGAAGCCTGTCCCCTTTGTTGCCACCTTTTGAGGCTTCCTCAGAATTGGTACTTGGAGGAAGGCTGTTTATAGTATGTAGGCAAATTCTGGCTTGACAAGTCTTTCCATCAGGTATTGTGTGGTCCCAAGTCATGTAAAGCTTCCTAATTTATACTCCAGGACCTTGAATGGGGATGGGGACCATACAAACAGGCAGTGCAAGCAGCCTAGAATTGGTGTTATGTGTTCAGGCCTTCTGGTCCTAGCTATAGTTTGGCTACCATGTTTTGAACAAGTTGCAGTTTCTCCCTACATGCAGTCCATTGCAGTAGTCAAACTTAGAAATTACCACACAGATTATTGAAGCCAGGCTACCCCTGTCAAGATAGGGGTGTAGCTGGGCCATCATCCAAAGCTGGTAGAAGGTACTTGGTGTCACTGAGGTCATCTGAGTCTCAAGCAACAAAGATGGTTCAGTGATGACCCCCAAGCTACAAACCTTCAAGGGGAGTTCAACTCCATTCAGAACAAGCTAAGCACTCTCCATCCAGTCAGGGGAACCATCTACTAACTGCATCTCAATGTTGTTGGATTAAGCTTAAATTTGTTACCACTCATCCTGGGCACCCAGAACAGATAAGTCATTTCAGGGTGTTTCAGACAAACCTTCCCAGGTTCTCTCATGCCTGTTGACCTCCATTTTGAGGCCTCATGGAGAACAGGTGAGGTTCCAAAGGACTGGAGGGTGGCATCAGTGGTCCCGATTTTCAAAAAGGGTAGTAGAGGGGACACAGGGAACAGTTATGCTCAAAATCCTACAAGCTAGGCTGCAGCAGTATGTGGACCAAGAACTACCAGAAGTACAGGCAGGATTTCGAAGAGGGAGAGGAACTAGAGATCAAACTGCCAACATACACTGGATCATGGAGAAAGCTAGGGAGTTCCAGAAAAACATCTACTTCTGCTTCATTGACTATGCTAAAGTTTTTGATTGTGTGGATCACAACAAATTGTGGCAAGTTCTTAAAGAGATGGGAGTACCAGACCATCTTATTTGTCTCTTGAGAAACCAATATGTGGGTCAAGAAGCAACAGTAAGAACTGGACACGAAACCACTGATTGGTTCAAAATTGAGAAAGGAGTTCGGCAAGGCTGTATACTGTTGCCCTGTCTATTTAACTTATATGCAGAGCACATCATGAGAAAGGCGGAGCTAGATGAAGCACCAGTTGGAATTAAGATTGCTGGGAGAATTATCAACAACCTCAGATATGCAGATGATACCACTCTCATGGCAGAAAGTGAAGAGGAACTAAAGAGACTCTTGATGCGGGTGAAGGAGGAGAGCGCAAAAGTTGGCTTGAAACTCAACATTAAGAAAACTAAGATCATGGCATCCAGTCCTCTCACTTCCTGGCAAATGGATGGGGAAGAAATGGAGGTAGTGACAGATTTTATTTTCCTGGGCTTCAAGAACACCGCAGATGGGGACTGCAGCCAAGAAATTAAGAGACACTTGCTCCTGGGGAGGAAAGCTCTGGCAAATCTAGACAGCATACTAAAAAGCAGAGACATCACCCTGCCAACAAAAGTGCATATAGTCAAGGCTATGGTTTTCCCAGTTGCAATGTATGGCTGTGAAAGCTGGACCATAAGGAAGGCTGAGTGCCAAAGGATTGAGGCCTTTGAATTGTGGTGCTGGAGGAGACTCCTGCAAGTCCCTGGGACTGCAAGGCGATCCAACCGGTCAGTCCTAGAGGAGATCAACCCTGACTGCTCTTTAGAAGGCCAGATACTGAAGCTGAAACTCAAATACTTTGGTCACCTAATGAGAAGGAAGGACTCCCTGGAGAAGAGTCTAATGCTGCGAACAATAGATGGCAAAAGAAGAAGGGGACGGCAGAGGATGAGGTGGCTAGATGGAGTCACTGAAGCAGTTGGTGTGAGCTTAGGTGGACTCTGGGGGATGGTGGAGGACAGGAAGGCCTGGAGGAATGTTGTCCATGGGATCACGATGGGTCGGACATGACTTCACGACTAACAACAAGCCTTACATCCATTGTAGGAAAGACAATGGAAAAGCTCATAATAGCGAGAGATCTAGTAACCCTAGACAGAGAAAGGAGGTTGGCAGTCATGCAACACAACTTCCACAAAAACAGGTCCTGCCAGACAAACCTTGTGGAATTCTATGACAAGGTTTCGAGATGCTAGATGGAGGGGGCGTGGTGGATGTGGTTTACTCGAATTTCAGCAAGGCCTTTGACAAAGTGCCGCATGATATCCTGGTTGAGAAACTGAGGCGTTTTGGGATGTCCAATGCACTGTCTGATGGACTAGGGCATAGTTGATGGACCAAAAACAGAGGGTAATCATTAGTGGGGAATCATCAGGATGGCGCCAGTGACAAGGGGGTTCCCCTAGGGCTCTGAACAGGATCAGTCTAAGGACAATCCTTTCATCAACAACATGGAAGAAGGGGTGACCAGTTTGCTGATCAAATTTGTAGATGATAATAAAATGGCGACAGTGGCCACAACTGAGGAGCAGGTACTCAAGAGCCAGAAGGATCTGGACAGACTATGGAAGTGGGCAGGGAACAACAGGATGGTGTTCAATGTGGGTAAGTGCAAGGTCTTGAGCTTGGGGCATAGGAATGGGTGTCATAAGTACAGGTTAGGGGACAAGTGGCTGGAGAGCAGCACTTGTGAAAGGGATCTTGAGGTGCTGGTTGACTGCAGGCTAAAAATGAGTCAGCGGTGTGACATGGCAGTCAAGAAGGCGAACGCCACCCTTGGCTGCATAGCCAGAAGTATGGCTTCTAGATCAAGAGAGGTATTATTACCACTTTCTACGATTCTGGTGCATATGCAACTGGAGTATTGTGTTCAGTTCTGGGCTCCACATTACAGGAAGGCTATAACCAGGTTAGAGTCAGTGCAGCGAAGGGCCACAAGGATGGTGGCTGGATTGCAGGGAAAGCCACATAAAACAAGACTGAGGGAATTGGGTCTTTTCACCCTGGAGAAGATGAAACTCCAAGGGTATCTGTTAAACGACATATAGTACATGAGGGGGTGTCACACGGAAGTGGATAGAGGAAGGCAGTTCTCCCCTGCAGAGGAAGGTGGGACACGTTCCAACAGAGCCAAGTTCAGGGAACCAAGGTTCAATTTGGATGCCAGGAAGTACTTCCAGACAGTTAGGACCCCAAGGGTATGGAATGGGCTTCTATGGGAGATGGCTGAAATCCCATCTTTGAGGGTGTTCAAGGATAGGCTGGGCATGCACATGGTAGGCATGTCATGAGCAGAGCCAGCTGGAGCTGGGGGTCAGACTAGATGGCCCAGGAGGCCCCTTCTGACTCGCTCTGTTTCTATATATAATGACAAGTTATGCCATGTTCCCCCAGGCCCTGCATGGCTGCTGCTGTGGAAGCAAGAAGACCTGCAGGAAAATTCCCCCATGGCTGTTCTGCACCACCTGTGAATTGAGCCTGTGTGTCAAGCGCACAGGGGACTCCCTGCACGCGAGAGTCAGCTTGAAACATGCTAAGTGGAGTTGATGCGGTCCATTCCTTGAGCTGAATGAGCCAGTAACCACCAAAGCCAAGCCAGGGCTTTTCTCGAACTCATCAAGCCGCCCCAGCTAGCAGATACACCAAGTGTGCCGCTGCTCACTGGTTTCAGCAATGCAGCAGCTCTGCAATGGACAGAGACCCATGTTATGGGCCTGCTCATTAAGCTGGCAGCTACACCACAGTTGGGAAACATCATATAGTTTTTCAGTTTAATTTTTAATCCACAAATTACATCAAAATCCAGTCATACACTTAAGCAAGGTAAATCTCTATTGTGGAATGCTGAGTCTCAACTGTAGGCTAGATATTTCTGTGCAGTTATATATTTTTTCAAATATGCAAGTACATTAGAATCCCCAACCTTTCATACTTATATTCTTCAGCTTCGCAAAGAAGGCTGTAACTGACAAGTAGCAAAAGCATGAAATCTTTTAGTACTGGAAGGACCAGAACAAAGCTTCCCCCCCTTCTTTTTTACATTGCTACTGTAATTAAGTTCGGATAAGATTTATGTGCCAACTTCAACACCAGAAACTGAAACTAAACAACTATTTTGTTATCAAATACATAAAAAAATGTATGCTTGTATTGTTTTATCGAATACATATAAAAGTTTACTGTGTAATCACCTTTGAAAGAAACTCTTTGGAGTTGACTGCAACACTAGGGGAAAATGCCCCAAAGAAGGTGGCATCCAAACCAGGAGAGAAGAAGGCACTCTGGACACAAAAACTCACAAAGGTGTTATCAACTTGAGCCAAGCCTCTTGAAAAATTAGACCTGATCTCTTGAGTACAGTACATTAAAAAAATGAAGGGTACAGTGAGTAAAGTCTGCTTCCTCTTTGTTTTGCTCATGGTTTGTGAAAGATTTTCTTGAACTGCATAAGGCACCCAGAACACAAATCCATTGAGGAGCTTGCAAAAAAGACAATCGCTGCCTCCATGGCCTACCTTGGAGCAATCCTTGCATGCAAAGCCATTGCTCCAATAGTAACAGAGCTCCAAGAGACTGCTGCAAGTTGAACAGTAGCAATGACAGCTCCCAGCATTACATAATTCGATTATATGTGAGAGAATCTAATGAGAAAGCAAAGCTTCATATATTTGGCAGCAGGCCACAGTGAGGTGTGTTTACATGGTCCACAGACAACAGAAAACCTTTAGGGAGAACAAAATCTACCATAGAAGAGGATGCCTCCTGTTTTATTGTGCCTTATAAGAAAGAGGAAGGGATGGTCAGCTATGAACTGCTGCACAATCATGGCACACCGCATATTCATAACAGCTCCTGTAGCAGCGGCCGCCACAGTTCCCTCTTCATTTACCTCCAGAAAGATTTTGTGGACAACCTCAGACAGGAATAAGTCATTGTTGGGTGACATTCCTGAGAAATCGGCCTTGTTTGGTTCAAAAGCCTCAGTCATTCCCATGCTGCTCAAGACAGGCTTCAGATCATATTTTTCCTCCAGTTTAAATTTAGGAAGAAACAGCTCAATTGTAGTAAGGTCCATCATCTCTGGGTTGATCCAGTCGATGAATTTCTCATAAGTCATTTCTCTCTCTAGCTATAATGAGATAACAACTCATATTATTAAATATGAAGCATTAAAAGTCCTGGTTGTAGATATAAATCTTAGTACTATGGCTTAAAAGGCTCAGGGAGTCACAGTGCCACACATGCATGCCATGACAGGAGTGGCCAGATCTAGAAAGAATAAGGGCGAAGCTGAGAGGGACACTGCCCTGAATAGAGAGGCTTTATTATTCAATCCTGTAACTAAGGAGGTACGTCAACAGCAATGAATTTGCCTAATCTTTCTTTCAAACTAAGAGTGCTACTCTCTGTCCCCATATCCAAAAGCTATATGCCCATGTGATTCGGACTCATATCAGGAGGTGTCACACAACACATTAACCCTGTGGTAACTTTACCCTCGCAGGGGATGCTGCAGGAGCACTGCAGAGTGCAAACCTGCCACTCACAAATGCTGTCTTCTGCCGCCCTGCCAGTGCTCCTCCTCATGCTCACAAGCAATCCCCCAACTTCTGCAGGAGCGCTGGGCAGGGAACCCGAAGTGGAGCATCAGAAGGGAAGGCCTGACCCTTGCTGGGCTCCCACCGGCTGACCCACACGCCGCCTCCTTTCCAAGGCGGAGGTGGCATGAAGATCTGCCATCTCTACTTTCTCAAGCCCCAGCTGGGACTTGAGAAGAGGCATGGGCTGGATTGTGCCCACTGCTGTTGTGGAGTTGTGGGAAGGAAAGAGGCACTCTGCTTGCTTCCCTTCAGAGGAAAGCACACAGGGTGCTGCAGGACTCTCGGCCGCATTTCCCCTTTTCCCAGTGGCAGGGCAGGGCAGCAGTTAGGCCGTCCCCTGACCCACAATCCCATCCTCACGTGGCCACCCCATCCGAGGGCAGGAAGCGAGCCAGCGTGTGCTGTGTGCCACTTCCAGGGCTTGAGAAGGTGGCACAGGAAGGCACCAGCACTGCTTGCCCTATGCACCTGTTCCTTCGCAGAGACAGGCAACAGGAAGGTACACCTTCCATCCTGTTCAACTCTTTCCCCACCAGGAACTATGGATCTGTTCACAGGATGACCCTAAAAAACCTGAAGACTGGGTCTTGCTCTCCACCATCATTACTGATGACACATACCCATGAGTTGACAGCAAAACAGACTGGGAGGTAAGAATATTGCTGGTGAGAAGTAGAATATTACTGGGAGTGATCAAATATACACAGATAATGGCACTCTCCTGCTTTGAGGCAAGAGGGATATACTTCCATGCCCTGGAGTTCTGCGGATTTCTACCCTCTTCTATAGAGGGGAAATATTTTTGGTGGACCAACAATTATGTTCATGGGAATGAAAATGACCACTCTGAATAGGGTGGAAGGTAGATGCTAGGGCCATGCTCAGCTAGCCACAACCCCCAGTGGACAAGAATTTAGATTTCCTTCAGTGCAATGCCTCACCTTCTCCAGGCCGGTGGAATCATCTCTGATTTGATCAGGAAGCAGAATGATCATGCTCAGTTCATTATCAACATAGGGAATCTCAAGAATAGTGGTATAGTAATCCGCTATGTAGGTCACCCTGTATTTCGCCTTCTTAAACATCATCTGCACTGGCTTGCTTTCGTTCTGTAAGTAGAGAAGATGAGTTAGAAGCAGGCAGAAGTGGGGGCTGGAGCATTCAGGGCTGCTCTTGAGAAACTGCAATAACAGTCTCACTAAAACGAGCCTCAGTCTTATTAGCCGCCCTAATGCAAATGACTGGGACTTTGGTTAGACCAGCATTAGATATTAGTATATCCTTAACACTATATATGGGTCAGAAAGCAAGACAGTAAAGAAAACTGATGGGGAAAAATGGATGGGTTCAAAACATGGTGCTGGAGTGAGCTTTGTGAATATCCTGGACTGACAGAAAGATGAACATGTGGGTCCTAGATTAAGTCAAGCAAGACCTTTCCCTGGAAGCAAAAATGACAAAAATGAAGCTGTCATACTTTGAGCACATCATAAGGCATCATTTCTAGAGAAAAGAGTAATGCTAGGGAAAGCTGAAGGCAGAAGATGACGACGACCAACTGTGAGATGGATCGATTCCATAAAGCAAGCTGCAGCCTTGAGTTCACAAGAGCTGAGCAGGGTGTCAAGAACAGGTCATTCTGGGGGATGTTCATTCATAGCGTTGCATAAGTCAGACACAACAGCATGTAATAACAACATGTTTATCATTAACAGACCTGGAAAATTTATCATTAGTTTTGACTGATATGTATATTGACTCAACATATTCTGTTAACAAAGGGAATCCACTGGATACCCCTTGGTACCTTTTACCATTGGAGTTGGATAATGCAATCAGATGTATCAAATGAGGCTACTGGATCCAAATTTGCAAAATCTACAGATGACAGCAAAGAGAGTTTGTTCAACTGTCCATCTTGGTTTACAACCAGGGAATACCTATCTGTCTGCCAGTTATCCTACCTCCTTACATATTTCCCAAGCAGCAGAGCAATTAACACTGATTACATTAAACATCAATAATGACAGAAAGGCCTCTTGACATCTCCGATGTTATCCTTGTGGAAAGGGCTAAGTCGAAACAATATAGTAAGCCCATACTTACTATATTGTGAATTTTAGAGTTATCTGAACCTATTCTCTTTCCCAATTTTTAATCTTATCCAGGAAATTCAAATTTTATGGTTCTATTTTATTGGCAGATGTTAAACCTGGGATCACAATGGATGTAGCAAAATTTCTACTTATGGCCACTGATATTAGACTACAATTACTAAAGCTGAGATAAGTTAAGGGCACACTATTTTATTGATAGATTAAAACATGGATTTTACTTGTACATGAGTTTTATGTACTCTTAGCATTTAATTGACCATGGATTTTATTTGTGTACAATCACTTTATACTTTTAATCAGATAGCATCCTTTATGATTATAATAGCTGTAGAACCAAATTAATGTGTTATATTTGTATGTTATGGCTGGTAGTCTGAAATAAACTTGAGTGAACTGACCACTAGAAGGAAACAAAAACACAGGCATGTCCTTTTAACAGCAGTTTTCTCATATCAGATTTTTATGTGTGGGAGTCAGCATTATCAATAACTAATACCCACAAATCATACTGTTGAAGGTACTAGAGCTGGCAAAAGCTTTGCAACCTTGTTTATAATTACATGTTTTTATTTTGTACCTTTTTATCACTATGGAAACACAAGGTTTACAAGGCCAGTGCCTCAGTTTTCTGGCAGTTATCCACTTCATTTAGACCAAGCATGTGGGGGGGAGGGTATTTACACAAGTTAAACAATGAAGGAGGCATATAGCATTCAAGGCATATAGCATATACAGAGGAGAATTTTTATGAGGCCAGAATAGAAGAGAAAAGGGGTAAACAACTGTTCCCTACATATGGCAGTCTGGGTATTATTCTCAATCCCTGAAAAGAGATAAAAGTTCAAACCCTGGGTTGAGGCTGGGTTGGCAAGATTAATCCTTGACTGAAGAGTTATCAGTTTATTGCAGTCATGTATTTTAACATCTTGAACAATGATCATTTGATTCCTCTTGTGCCCTGGGAGTTATTTATGACATGTGCTCACATTTCTCCTTTCCTTGTCAAACATTAATTCATAAGAGTGAAATAAAAAGACCAGCTATTTTCTACATCAAAAAACCCTTCAAGTTGTTTGCTGTACTGAAAGGTTTATATATGTATAATTTAACAAACAAAACAAAGGCTGGGATCTTAGTAGTACACTAACTAGAATTTCTCTGGGCTAGCTTTTCCTCTTTAGCAACTCCTGATGCAAAATGCATTGGACAGCAGCAGAAGCTACAAACACCATTTGTGATATGGCACTTAAGAATAGGAGGGAATCTACTACCCCCGCCCCCCCCAAAAAAAGGATGTCAAGTATTTTTCTTGTAATTTGTGTAAGCCCATGGACATGTACCATGTAATTCTCAGATCCCTAGCTAAGTAATTTAAGAAGGTAAGATACTGACTTAGATAATTTATGGTTTAGTGGCAAGATTAGTACATTGTGCATACTTTCCTCTGAAAGTCAAATGTGAGATTTGGAACTGGGACAAAGGCTTATAGCAGAAGAATGAATATCACTAACATCCAGAAAAAAGTGACATAGAAATGCAAGCCTGAGGAAGTCATTCACTGCGGAAGCAAGGTAGTTTCACCTCCTACAGTTGCAGGAAATTTACACTGGATGTTTCAAATTATGTTAAAGTCTAAAGATCAAGACTAGTAATCTAATGGAATGAGTAAGGAGTGTTGCAGAGTAATAAATCACTAAAAAACTGTAATGTGATGTGCTGTAGATTTTTTCACCTCGTACCTTGTTGATTTTGAATGGCCTCTCTGCTGTACAATTCTTCTGGAACTGTTCTGCCCAGTCTCCCTTGAAATAGAGCGCATTCACCAAAACCAGCCTTGTAAGAGCATTAACAATGCCCGGGGCAAGCAGATTTTGGATTTTACCTATACCAGGGATTAAAGAGTTGTGTTAATAGGAGACGCTGCCCTCTCCCCGACACTTAACTTTCATGGACTCTGCTTTTTTTTTAAAAGCAAGAAAAAAAAATGAAAAGACAGATAAGATGGAATTCAAGATTTACCCACCTTCTGTTTGTTTTTCTACCCAGGAATTTATGTGTTCTCTGGAGTCTTCTGCTGTTCTGATGAAGTCAACTTTCTCTAGATCGGCATGGTAGAATTTCTGAGTGGAGTTTGTAAATGCCTCAAGAAGAAGGTGACAGATTAATAGCAGAACCTTTCTAAAATTCTGTACTTTCATCCACGTTTTACCTCAAAGGAAGAAGTGGGACATAATTTATACCATTGTTCAGATAGCTGTATATAATTTGGGAAGTTGACTTATGACATTAATGCATCAGATAAAATAGAAAAATCAACTTCGGTCTGAGCTTGGGCAAGTGGTGCCCAGCAGATAGTTACGTTTCCACAAAACACAATACATCAGAGACGTAAGACTGATCAGGCCGGATGGGAAGAGCCACATGGAATGTAATCCTAGGCTTGTCTACTCAAAGGGTAAGCAACACATCTCTCGCCCCAGCTGAGCAAGTACAGGACTGCGTTCGGTCTAGTGTTCTTTCCCATTCGACCCTTGCAAGTTCACTGAACAGCAGGAGGACCCCTCACTTTCAAACAAGGAGCTGATTCTGAAGAGTCAAGGGGGGGGGGGTGCATTGCTACTGTTCCCAGGAACCTTTGTTCAAAAGCTGGAGGAAAGGCTTCTTGCAATGCTGGCTCATGATGCATTACAATTTGAGAAATGGTGAATAAGGAAATGTCATGCAGGAGCTGCAGTGGGCCATGTCAGAAAGAGTTCTGCATGAGTCAATACTGTGTCTTACACAAGAGATTATATACACAGCTCTGGATTGTCTTTACCCTTCTGCAAATTTGGAAACAGCACTTATGTGAGCAGAAGAATTTTTCTAGTGCAAGGGCACCATTGGATGCAATATTTGGTGAATCAAAGCCCAACTTCATTTTGGGGTATGACTATAAACCCCTGAAAGTGCCAAGCTGAAAATGAAATCCCCTTTTCTAACAGCCATCACCTTGTGGCGATTAATTCCTTGTATCTGCCATTTTAAATCTATTTTCCCCCATCAGTTTCACTGGATTACACTCTCTTCTACTATTTTGTGTGCAAAGGTGTCACCATTCTGCCTTTCTGCAGAAAATATGGAAAAGATGCCCCATTCTAAATCATACCAGTGGTCGAATTATGCTCATCTACTCTAATTGGCAATGCAGTAGACTTAAATTCTTTGGGAACCCTCCGTAAAGGATATTAGGAGGGTGAGTACTCGGAGGAGGGCTTTCTCTGCGGTGGCGCCCAACCTATGGAATGTGCTCCCCAGAGAGGTCTGCCTGGCGCCGTCCTTATTTGTTTTTCGGTGCCAGGCCAAGACCTTTTTATTTAAATGCTATTTTAACTGTTAATGGTTTATTTGTTGATTTTAAATTGAACAGGCTGTGTCCACTATTTTATTTTATGTATTTTAATTATTTGATGATTTTTTGGGGGATTTTATGTGGGATTTTATGATTGTAAGCCGCACCGAGGCTCATGCGATGGGGCAGCATATAAGTTGTTTAAATAAATAAATAAATAAATAAATAAATAAATTTGCCCATACATGCAAATTAAAGGATTACCACTGATCTCCAGTTCCTCCTGGTGATGTTCCTTCCAGTTCTGTAAAGCCTATTTTTTATTTAAATCCTATTCATTGTTGTTTTTTTAAAATAGCATAATACATGTTCTGGCATAACCTGTTGTTCAGCTTTACAGCTGCCCCATGGAAGATGTTAAAGTTTATTAACAATGAGCGATGCAAGTCTCAGTTATCTTTGTGATTCTTCAGCTAACATTGCTTTAGGAGGAAACTGGCATACTGTAAGGGAAGAAACAAGTGGATGAATTTACCATGGCTTATGAACTGTTAATATCAATATTGTCATGTGTTTCATCTAGAATAGAGGAAAACAGCACAGTGCCATAACTCACACTAATGCAGAAGGAAGACCAGTCAAGGGGAGCACTGAATGGAAAATTCCCTGTGGACAAGTTGGTCCACTGGCAACATAGGACACACCTATCCTCTACTTTTGATTCAAACATGGCTCCTACAAAACACACACCCCAAGGAGGTGAAGCGAGGATTTCTGTTTAACCAGGCAGGGGTCCTGGGGGTGATCTTTCACTTTCCCCAAGGAAGGGGGGCAAAGTGACGGAGGGGGCTGGAGCAAATGCCACTGATGCCCTGGCTGGTGGCATGGGGGAATCCAGCTTTCAAGCAGATTGGTTGGGTACCATCTGGTTCCAAAGACTCAAGATGGTCACCACTGATCAGAGGAATAAAAGAGTGTTTCAGGAGCCGTCCTGCTGGGGCTGCCCCAGGCCCTTCTGACTCTCTCTCTCATACCCCCTTCTCTTAAAACAGTGTTTAAATGCTTCTGCAGCCCAATTTCCAAGTGTTGATTGGTCTTGAAATGTCCTTTCAAATTTGTCAGTGCATATGACTGAGAAATAGAAAAGGGTTCCTTGTTTGATTTGTATCAGGGAAAGATTACTCACTACTTATCAGAATGGAGAGTACATGCATATAGTTATCCAACAGATAAGTGAACAGTGTAACTTACTGTTAGAAACTCATATGAAGTTTCTCCAAAGAGTCTGTTGGCAAGTCTAAGCAAGTACTTGGTGCCAGGTTTGTTGATTTCTGACATGTGTTTCTCGTACTCCTGGTGAATCTGATCACCTGCAGTCAAAGACAGCACCTACAAGATAGAGTGTTAATAATATCAGTTCCATTTTAGACTGTATTCAAGTATGAACACCAATATTTATCAAGGGACACTTTAAAAAAAGCTCTGTAATGAATAATTGCATCAGCCAGAAAGCAAGATGCAAATATTTACCAGTTACCTCAAACAGAAAAATCAGGGAGGCCTTTTCCTACTTTAAATTTTGAGCTTGATGGTAAGGTAATAAAATGAAACAACTTTCCAATGAGTATTGTTAATAAGAGTAATATTAAAACAATTGATTTAGGTACATCACATGGTTTGATTCCTGTTCTGGACTTGCAAGACAGAAAGATCAAAAGTAAGCAAGGACACCTCCCCCCCTCCCACCCCCAATGAGACAAATAACAGTCAGCTTCTGCTGTTTTCAAGTTTTAAAATAATCTTGGCAAGTGCAGAAAGGAAAACCTGTTATGGTATAAATTAGCTTGAGCAGCATCCCAAAATTCTGGGAAAAACAGACATCTAGTTCATATGAAAAGCAGCATAATCCATTTAAGACGTCATGGGTGATAAAAACATTCACACAGAGGTATAGTGCCACATGTAGCAAGTCATTTTTCAAGGAATTTCCTTTCTGCTTTGTGTCAGTCCAGAAGAGTGGCAAATGCATTTCACATTTGTATCTTCTGAGCTGAGTGTACGCACAAGCTGGGTTTTTGCTGGTGATGTCCCTTTGGTTCGGCCATTGACCCAAAGCTTCCAACCACCATTTTGGAAATATGACTCCAGTTAAATTTCTAGCACAGTGTATTCCAGCTGCTGTTTCTGTGGGTATCAGGAAAAGGCCACTCGACAGCTATCCGGACCAGACCTACTACAGCTTCATATCATGAGAGATTTTACATGGCTTCTTAATAGATTCAGAATCTTTTTTCCTGGGTAGAGTGAAGCACTTGATTAATACAAGTTCTCCTGGAAAAGCATCCAAGAAACAACCTACCCATAATTTTGCTTTGCAAATCCTTACATTGAAGGCAGTTACTTTGATGGATCCTGGGCTGCAATTGGGAAGCATAATGGAAAGACATTGCCAAGACTTGCATGAAAAACCGTCTCTTGAATAAAGAGCATCATCTCAGACTTATTATACTACAATTATATTTTAATAAATGTTTTAATAAATTAAAAATGTTTTAATAAATAAATAAATACTACAATTACATCACACCTTTTTTTCCTCTTTGAGTAATCTAAGGAAGCTTTACATAGCTCCATTTTAGCCTCATAGAAATGAGGTAGGTTGGGCTGAGAGTGAATGACTGGCCCAAGTCACACATTGAACATCATGACCAAGTGTGGACTAGAACCCAGGTCCCCAGCCCAGCACCCTACTCACTGCACCAGTGGCTCTCAAGGGAATAGGCATCAATTGCATTTTATATGGAATGTATCCAGTCCACCCAAATGCATTTTTAACCTAGGGCTAGTGGATCTTGAATTTAATTTGTTAATGAGTATTTGTTTAATTTTCAATTTTCATATTTCAATTTGACATACTCATACCAATTTCCATTCAACCATATTCTGCATGCTGTTACTCTATCAAAATTCAAAGATAACATAAAATCCAAGATTTATTTGAAAGATCAATTTCCACAACATTTAACAAGCTAGCTAGCTTTTAATACACAATGAGCATGACATTTTCAGCAAGTTTTTCTGTGTGAGAATGGTTAGAAAAGTGTTATTTTTTGTACTGAAGCTCAATTATACATTTGAAATTCATTTCTCGGCAATATTTAGCTAGACTAATCAAAAGCAGGAGGGGCAGCCAGACTGACAATAGATGCACACAACCGGCACTGCCTGAGAAAAATCTCAAACCCAGGAGGACCAAAGAACCAACTCAAGTTAGAAAGGGAACACTTTGATCCTCTTCCAACTGAAATGTTTTCGGGCTGTAACATTCTATATAAGAATGTTCTTCAAGTTGACAGACAACCTATCATATACACTGGAGAAAAACATGGGATCTGTGGTATGCTGGTACATCAGCTAGGCAAGAAAGGAAAAACAGATCCTCCCATTGTCCTTTTCTATGATCTTTCAAACAGATTACATTATCTGCAATAGATCTGTTCAATCTGGGAGTCATGAAACCTGACCCCACCATTCTGAATGTGAATGCAAGAACTATGCATTGGGTAAGCCAATGATAGTTCAATGATCTCTACTCACTGAGCATCAGGCACCTGGCCTTGAAGAATTAAAGTGTGGTGGGTCACATTGCACAGGCCTTGTTTTCTATGGAATCAAGCTAAGCTCAAGAACATAATGCTGTCACCATGATAGCTTTTACTTAAGTTTGTGAGATCAGGAACACTTCTCTACTATCTGTAACCTAATCTTAGGCTGTTTTGCCTCCATGTCAGGCATGGCTTGATTATATATTAACAGGCTTATAAGGCAGCCTGCTATCCCAGGTTCTGCCCAGCTTCCAAAACACTGTCCTTGAGTCAGTGGGAGGCACTTTTTTTGGATCAAGCAAGACGAAAAACCACCCACGAAGTTTGCAATGGTATAAATGGCTTTTTGAAAAGTAAATAGCAGGAAGCTCGATTGGTTCCTCTATTTACTTTGAAAGAAAAGGTTTTATTAGTTCCAGTCTACCAGGGTAAATAGCCAAGGGCCCCAGTCCAGATCAAGGCTGCAGGGGGAGCAAAGAACAAAAGCCTCCTTTCCCCCACCAGGTTCCAGTTGTCCTCTGTGCCTGCTATTACTTTGAAAAGTCAGCCATTCCGTAAGTTCGATTGCGTTGAATGGGGTTCATATAGTTTGGCCCTCAGGAACTGTACTAAGGCTGGTAGCTTTAAAAGCATGTTAATTCCCATAATTGCAGCATGGCTTGTTACAAAGAAAAGGAAACACCTCACTCAAGATCCCCAATCCAGAGTCAAAGTCCTTTTTTTCTTAATAGAAGTTATCTAACTTTAATAGCAGTTATTACCTTTGACATTTGGGCTGCTGTGTTACCTTTTGCACCCAAACAGACCATTGAAAGAGCAGAAGAAATGCTCCAAGGAGAAAAAAACAGGTTCACTGTTCTATTATTTTCACTTAGCTTCTTGAAAAGGCCGAGCGAAAAGGCTGTGTTGGCTGCGGTCAGACTGTCCATGTCTCAGAAACTATGGAATAAGCAGAGATAACGCAGATGGTCAACCCAGAGGGATGTTTTAAAACAGTGAAGCCAGCTTTCCAAAACCCACGTGTGTGTCACCATAATGGATCAACCCATATTTTCTAAGTTCAAAGGAACGGAGCATGAAAATATCATCATCTGAAGACGAACCCAGGCATGGATGTCTGGCATGCTAAAGATCTCTGGCATAGGTCTCTTCCTGGACAAGTTGGAGGCACAAACCATGATTTGTTCTTAGTTTGTGATTTCATCTTTGCTGGGAGGAGACAAGCCAGAATTGTCAATTTTCATATTACAATGCAACAAACATTGATACAGAATGCATAGTTTGTTTAGCTGCTCTTTCTTACAGCAAGAGCAGTTGGACAACATGTACCATTCATTCTCAATAAACCAGATTATTTCAGAATTTTGGCTTAATGTGACACCCAAATACAGCATATTACCTCTACACAGTAATTTATAAGACAGTGCAAGAAAAGAATAATGCACATCCACTTTCTATAGAAAATTAAGTTTAAATTAAAATTATTTCTCTTGTACATTACATGCCACATTCAGGGTTTTATTTAAAGAACTACACAAAAAGGCACTGAGTATCACATGCCCTCAGTTTACTTCTGGGCCCAATACAGCATCCTTGAAGTTATACACTCTTAATGAACTAGCAAGATGATCAATAGCCCTTATGTATCATCTGAAGCATCAGAGGATAGTTCAGAGCTTCAGGCCCCCTGCTCTGGCTCAGAAGTGGGAAGCGCAACTCAAGCTCCTTCCTCTGCCCTGTTGCAGCCAGCATGGGGGAAAAAAAAAAAAAAACCACACCAACCATAATCTGACTTCGTTTTCAGATCACACTGTAGCTTGAGTCATGCTCTTGTTTGTTAAGCACTAATGATGAACACATTTCAAACTCTTCCTGCTTCTCCCACAATTACAATGTTATGCATTTGATCGTATGACTTATACAGCACTCTGATCATTAACTTGTAGTCAGACAACCATAACTACATTTTAAAAAAATACTGGCAATTAAATGGGATTACACTGTAGAACCAATCCTTGATCTGCTTCAGCTTCACGAAGGCAGGGAGGGTTCCATTCTGTTCCCCAAATGTTACGCAAAGAAACCCACAACTGCTGGCCTTCAGCTCTTTATAATGAATATAGCCTGATGAAGGAGAGCAAACTGTTTTGACCATGATCTATGTGCATCCATTGTACTGTCAGTAGCAAGCCCCCACATGTGAAGCTGTATGCAGTAGGAGGAGCTACACTCATTAGAACTGCATCACATATTTGAATGCCTCTGCCAGCTGCTCTCTACCCCAACACCACACTCAACAGCCACAGACTTTGTCTGAGTGCCAGCTCTGGGGCAGGTTTGGAGGGCAACAAGGAGGGCTTTATATGTGCTGCCCCCATCTATGGAATGACCTCCCCATGGTACTAACCTTTTTGGTACCTTTTATATCCCATCCTTTGCAATGTCCCAGGCCTTGTAAGAAGGCCTTTTATGCTGAGGCTACAACCATGGTTATCCAGGGGCTTGATAGTTTTATAAAGGAAAAGCACCTGGAATGAGTTATCTTCACTTTGTTTTAGCTGCTTTTATTTTTTTAATAAAGTTTTAGCATTTGTATTGTAAGGGAACGCCGACTGTGCTTGACACCACGATGCCCCTCTGCTAACCTCTTGACACACAGTTCAATGTCTGTGCAGTGCTACTGAAATCAATTTTGATTCTTGCTCTGTAGAATATAGGCACATTCCCACGTGTGATGAGAGCAGGAAGGCAGAAGGACACAAGACAAACAGGGATATCTCACACCTTTTCCATAGTAGACATCTGTTTAGGGTGCAATCCTACATAGGTTTATACAGTAATAAGTCCAACAACTTCTGGCATTGTCTAGCCAGTCATGTGTGGGAGCTGTAGGTCTCTTCTGGTGGCCTAAACTTGTGTAAGACTGAATCCTTAAAAGAAGTTTTTAGTACAAATTGAATGTACCACTGGATTACTCCTTCCTCCTGCTGAAACATTATTTTATCGTAACAGTTCTCTTTTAATATGTATCCTGGTATAGTTAAAACATTTCTAAGGCCCTCTGAAAAAGCATCTATAGAATAGCAACTTATATTAGCCTGATGACTGTGTCAGCCCAGGCAACCTCCCCACCCTTATTCAAGGAAGGAAAGACACCTTCTATTTGCCACACCACAGTCACTTTCACTTAGGTGCAGCAATCTGCAATGTGGCATTAAAGCCTGTACCAGCCTCCACCAGCTGCTCCAACTTTTCCTACATGCTGGAAGGCACATCTAGCACACCTGTTAGGAAACACCCTTTACAACTTAGCTTAAAGTATGAGCAGCACATCAGTCAACGTCAGACTTGGAGAAAATCAGGTGAGCTGGTCAGAGTTCTAATGCATCTTAACACAGCAGCAAAGGAAAAACAGTTGAAGGAATTATTATTTAGTTCTATGCCACACAATAGTTGAAGCTGTCTGGGTGGTTTATTAAAAATTGCTGCACTCGAAAGTGAGGATTAAAATATACACCTTCCACACCTAATAACTTGTTAGATATTCCCCAATGCAAACTTAACTAAAAATAGCGACGGGGAGCTGCAAGTACTTTCCCTTTCCTTTCCACGCTCCTAGGTTTTAACAAACACTCTGCAGGCAGAAACTGGGCAGGTGAAACCTTTCCTAGCATGGAGACGCAAGTGAAAATGACGTCGCCATTGCCCCTGCAAACACCACACCCGGCCACTGCCTTGTTCCACAAAGGATGCCCCATCCCTATTCCCAAACTTTCTCCGCTTGTCTCTCTTCAACTAGCAAGCCACACCCGCATCATCCAAACTAAACCTTCAAACTAAAACAGCGGATTTATTGTCGCACAGGCTTTTAAATGCTTATGTTTACGTGGAATCCTGTCCGCAGAGGTTTATGGCACAAGGGAGCTGCCGGTCTACGCGCTACCTTATCGGAGGGACCAGGACCCAGCGTCTCCAGGGAGCTAAAACAGAGCAACGATCGCCGACACCCGCTACATGCTCAGAGCGGCGCACTGTTTAGCCCTACTCTTTAGGAAATTGTTACCAGATAAACATGCGCGTTTAATCCATGCGCGAGAAGTCTTCACGCATCCGCTCCCCAATCTCCGGGTCACACTCCCCGCCCGCCCCCGCATTACAACTGGTGCAAAGCACTAGCAAGAGAGAAACCGACCGTACCGGGAGGGAAGGAGCAGAGAAATGGTTGGTCCACGGACGGCTCTGAAGCTACGCTGCCGGGCGAAGAGGCGCTGGGACTGCTGCAGGCGGCCAGCAAGCCCTGCCTTTCCTAGGAGCACGGAAGGGAGCAACTTGCGGGTTCTCGCGGCCGCTACTTTCCCGGAACCTCTTGAATAGCTGACCCGTGGGCTGACTCACAGCCGAAGTATCGGGTTTCCACTCTCCCAGGGCATGCGCACAAATAGGGGCCCTTGACTCAGGGCGCGAAAGCAAGCCGCGGCCTGTTCCGTGAGCAAGGCGGCGAGGGACCGCGCTGTCCTCTGCTGGCGTGGGGGCAAGAGCCCGGGGCGCTTTCTGCAGGAATGTTTGGAGGAACAGTTCAGCAACAGCGTCGGCCCGCCCTGCAGCACGAAGGCCCTCGTGGAGAGTTTGCCTCTCCCCGGAGTCCTCGTACTGCTGACCCGTTGCGTTTTGCGCGATCCTGTGCGGAAGGAGGCGGCTTGGCTCCCCCCGCCCCCCGCCGGCGCCGCAGCCACGGGGTGAGCAGGGTGGTGCAGGAGGGAGCTGCGGGCATGCCGCACAACTGGCTTTGTGCCCGCGGGTTCCCTGGGAACAGTCTCTTGGCAGCTGCGATTGCGGTCCTTAAGGCATTTCCTGTCCCAGATGTTTGCCAAAGGTGAAGGCAGATTTCCTTTTCCCCCCATTTCATGAGTTCATTAGTAGCAATGAAAGGATGACATTTGCAAGTGCCGTCTTTACCAAGCATGGCAGTTTGAAAGCTGTAGCGAATGTTTTTCCCAAGCAAGTTTGGGAAGAATACAGCTGCAGAACATAGTTGGACAGGGATAGCTTCAATCATCTTCACGCTGGTAATCTCTAAATTAGATTACTGCAATGCACCCTATGTGGGGCTGCCCTTGAAGATGGTTCAGAAGCTGCAGAATGCAGCAGCCATATTAATAACTGGGACACAGAGGTCCAAACATACCAGACCAAGTCTGGCCCCCATGCATCGGCTGCCTATATAATTCCAGTGTCAGTTTAAACTGCTGGTCTTAATTTATAAAGCCCTATACAACTTGGGAGTGCAATATCTGTTGGAGTGCCTCTCCCAACCCTGATCTACCCAGATACTATGCTCAGCCTGGGGCCTTCCTGCAGGTGACAATCCCCTGAGTGACTCAAAGGGTGGCAACTAGGGGAAGGGCCATTTCTGTGGTGGCCCCCATCTTTGTAACAATCTCCCTGTTGTGGCTTGCATGGTGCCAAATTTGCCATCTCTTTGGTGCCAAGTTAAGACAGCCGTCTTTGTGGAGGCCTTTAAAGACCTCCCTGGTCATTCAGGGGCCCAACACGATTGGCCACATGCCTTTCCTTTACTCTAGACTAGTCTTTTTATTGTTTTGATTTGTATACTATTTTAAATTAATTTTATTTCTTGTTAATGTTTTTTATCTATTGTATTTTATTGTTTTTATACTTTGCTGGAAACTACCCAGAGTGTTTTGGGTAAGGGTGGTATAGAAATGAAATAAATAATGTGATTGACGGGCACCTTATCTCCTTCCCACTTTCCAGAAATCTCTGCCTATGAACACGGAACAGCACTACAAGGCTGGTCAGAAACCTGCACAGGAGTATTCCCGGGGGGGGGGGGGGGTGCTGCAAATACTGCAACATTTTGTTGTAGGTCTAAGAAATGTTTCTATGGTATGAGTGAAAGCTGGGCACATGCACACAAACACAGCAGAAATTTGTTCTAGTAATGAAGCATCAGATGTAAATGTAATATGACAAGTATAATTGCCTATAGCCAAACATTCCTCAGCTCTTCTAGTGGCCAGATATTTTAAATACAAAAGACTCTAGTCTGGCATATCTAAGGAATGCAATGCAGGAACAGCTGCTTAGTGAGTTCCTCCAGTTCTATGCAGTGCTACAGAATTGGGGAAAGAATGAAGCCTCTGGGATTGGCATATGCCCTTAAATGGAGCTCATTTCTGCCAGCAGAAGCAATTTTCTCCTGAAAACCTGACCAGTGGGGCTTCTGGGCTAAAACAGAGCTGCCACATCCCCATATGGGCCAGATCTCCTTATGCCTGTCAGATTTGCCCCAGCTGTGCAACTGTTAGATGGTATGAACTACAACCAGTTCACCAAGCTCAAATGATGATTGTTATTTGGTATGTTTTCAGTCCAGTTGTGGACTGAAGTTTCTGACCAGTTGTGAAGCGTTGAAGGAGTGGGTCTTAATAGCCATTTCCGAATTGAGAAACCATAAGTAAAACTACATCTGCCTGATTAAGATGCATTAAAGTTCCAGTGTGCTTCTGTTATGATCACTCTTTCCTTTCCGTCAGAAAAGAAAAATATTCCAAGCATGCCGAGAGTTCTTTTTAAAACTTGATTGCAATGAAGGGAACAGAAAAAATAGTTTCCTTCCCATTTTCCTGTTCACCTGAGCACATGTTCACATCTCATTTTATATGCCCTGCCCCCCTGCTTCTCCCTCTCTTTTTTTTGCACATTTTTTATTAAGATTTTAAACTAAAAACTAAAAAAATTAGTCATCAATTACATCGGACGTACTGGGTCAGCCCCCTATAACATATCTTTTTAACATTCTATAATCATATTCAAATCAATTTATAAAAGTTTAAAGACATCTTTAAATCTAAGCCAAGTCCCGTTTCTCCTGCCAATCATAAAAAAGGTTCCAAGTTTGATAGAAGTCAGTATCTTCTTTCTCCTTCAGTAATAGAGTCAATCTGTCCATTTCTGCACAGTCCAGAATCTTTTTTAAAATCAGTTCCTCAGTGGGTAGTTCCTCACTCTTCCAGTATTGAGCAAGCACAATCCTCGCTGCTGTGATTAAATGTAACATCAAATACATTTCTTGTTTGCTAATATTTTCCGGTATAATGCCTAACAAGAAAATTTCAGGTTTAAAAGCTAAGGGTTTTTGTAGCATTTCCTCAAGCCATTTATGTATTTTAATCCAATACTTTTTCACATATTCACAGGTCCCCTCCTCTTTTCCCCTTATTGGCTAGGGTACTGAGAGTTTACACTCTTTCTGCCTGCCGATTCCGTGCTGCCCCCACACCAGCCCTTCTTCCCAGACATTGCAAAAAGGAAAAGGGAAGAACCCACTTGTTGAACCCACAGGGAAAAGTAGTCTCCTTGGGGTTTTTGAAAAGAACCCCTCCCACTGTGCACCCCTGCATGCACTGTTGGGAAAATTTGGATAAATCCTGTCAGAAAAGCATTACTTCTGTGTGCCTTTGCATTGTGGGATCAAATCCTGTACTCTTTGCTGTCACTGTTTAAAATGGCATTCATTCCCCCACTCCTTTCTCTCACCTTTAGCTGTAAGCTACAGTACACAGGTCATTTAGTCCGAATTTACATTGTATACCTTCACAATGATTAAACAATCATTGTTGGAATTCAAGGAAGTATCTTCCTAGCCCAGAGGCTGCATGTGCCCTGGCCAGTTCAGAATGTCTAGATAAGAGTCTTGAGCTCATGCATAGTTTCTCAGTAGCTTGAATTTACATGTTTAAGCAGACCTGGAGATGGGTTCAAGCTACTGAACTAAAGTGTCAATACAGGCAATTAGAAATATTGTAATCTCATTGTTACTGTGTGATTGACTGACATTTCTTTATCTGTTCTGTATGTGATGACCTCAGAAACTTATTGTAATCTCTGCATTCTGTCATCAATTGCCCTGTACCTATAAAATACCCTGCAATGGTATTGAAGCTTTGCAGCAGCGTTCACTCTGCCTGCCCGGTAATGCATTATCGTGAGTGTACCACGGGAACCTGGGTAAAGCAATAAAGCCTCAGATGGTCTGGATGCTTGATCTTTCCCACAAACCCGAGTTTTATTCCCTCTTCTCAAATTGAGATTCCGGGATTCTGACAATTTGGCGACAAAGGTGGGATTGTGGGTTTTTGGCCCTTTATCCTGGGCATGAGAGATGGTAAGTTCGGCCGAAATTCTCTCCATTGTGGGAGTACAGATACTGGTCATCTCTTCCGTTTTGCAGGCGGGTCAATGTAATTAGATCTGGTTTTGAACCTCATTGCACGTTGGCTTTGATTGTGGACACCCAGGAAGCATGGGGGTTTCAGAATCTCACCTTAGTACCCCATGGACACCTCTGCAGCAAACTGCAGGGTGGTGTGGCTGGCCATGGGCGGCACCTGCAGGGTTGTCGCGGAAGCAAGCGCTTGGTATTTTGATTTAAAACAGCATGGTCAAACCTAACTCAGAGAGATTCCAATCTAAATTGGCCACAGAGGGCTCATTTGATTAGAACTGGCTACGCCTTTTTCAAAAGCATCTGGTGGAAATACATCCTAAGGAGATGGAATCAGGGTTGTTTGGTCCAAGCTAGTGGAGCACAAAAAAAAGCTAGCTAATATGGTATTGGTGCACCAGGAAAGAACTACATGTGTGAGTATATGTTTGCATTGGGGTTTGTGCAGAGTTTTATGTTCAGTGTTTGTGAAAGTCTTGTGTTCATTGTTGCTGTCTGGGTTTTCTGTCTTGTCTGTTTGTATTTTAAAGTGTTCCCCTTTCTGGGAGGTAGGCATAGCCCAGAGTGGGTTTTGGGGGTTCCTCAGGAAATAGATGCTCCCCACGCAGCCTCACCAATCTGTCCTCTTCAGGGCATGGTTGAAAGCAAGGGTGTGGATGGGTGTTCTTGCCCCTGAGATGAGAATGTGTGAACCTGGCTTTGATTGAGATACAGATTCATGAGGTCATTGGCCTGAGCCCAAGCATGGCTGAGTCCAGCTGGGAAAAAGGTGATGATCAGGGAAATGTGTGTGTGAAATTTTTCCTTCCCCCATTCCTTCTATATGAGCCAGAACTGGGAAGTAAGGAAATGTGTGGCCCTTGAATTGGGCTAACACAGGTCCTACCCAGTTTTCTGGACATCCTCAATA